GCACCTATTTGATCAAATAGGTGTGACAATATGAAGAGGTATGGCCACACCTCTTCACTTGTTTAATTTCCTAAAGGTTGTGTTCATTAATCACAACCATTGGAAACTTATAAATAGAAACTCCACATGTTTGATTTTATATTAACAAAAATCAATTCAATTCTATAATTTTGTTTTATGGAATTCTTCCTTCTTCTGCCCGGAAATATTCTTCGTAGAATATTTTCTTCCGTATTATGTTCGAAAGTTTGAGACACAAAGTAACGTTCGTTGTACTCGGGATTTTGAGTGCTCATATGCCGAGTTAGCCGTTGTATCTTGGGAGACAATTGTCAAATAACCGTAAGCACCGTAGCGGGACAATATTGTCTTAAGGAAAGAGTATTCTCGTCTCGGCTAATCTTTTCGTATTTTCACTAATTAATTTGTTCGACCAATTTACTAAATTCACTACCCGTTTTATGTATCGGGAACAACAATCTTAAGACAATATTTTTGTGATTTAGTAAATTGTGTTTTCTGCACACGTTGGTAAACGAGATGGAGAAGAAGATAGTCTGCCAAAAACCAAGAAGTTACAAAATACAATTGGAGAAAGTTCATTTTCGGACAGAACATGAAGTCCACATTCCTGCCCATTTTCGAAGGTGTTAAAGTCAGAATATGGCAAATTGACATTTCACATAAGTTGTAGATAATCAAGTTAGCTTTCCAGAACATGTTAAATCGTCACAATCGGAGATTGTACGAAAAAGTTATGATGAAAACACGAAAGGGTCGCAGAACTGCCGATGCACCTTTTCATGAAAATACAACCGTGCAAATTTACAGCACACCTATTCCGACTTCGAGGCTTATTTTGATCATGATCCAGTTCGAATCTCAGAAAACGTAAAAGATAAAAGTTGTAGAAAATTTTATTTTCTATTCGGATCATACTGAATCAACAAAATCGGACTTCAGACGGAAGAGATATGATTAAATCATTCAGCACTGCCATAATATTGATACGATTTGGTGCTACCCACAAAATTTGAATTGACGAACATATAATTTATCGGGTACGTTTTTTAATTATAAGATATCTATTTGTGCAATGATTGATAATGCTATATGATATAATGGTGGATTATTGCATGATAGTTTAATTTTAATATGTGGAAGAATGGTAAACTATATACAATATATATGCTTAATGAATATTCATTATGTTTGTGTATCTACATTAATGATACAAATAATTTTATCCTAAATGCAATAAAGTGATAGCGTATGTGCTAATTATTTGAATAAGTTTATCATAAACCGCATGATATGTACTATACTATATGACATTTCTCATGAAAATGCAATATTTATTTGCATAAATTGCATATAGTTTGATACGGGATTAGCTTTCTCCCAATTTTCATTTGATGTGGAACCGTCCAATTGATTGATTTTCCAATATGTTATATGAAATTTGTGAGTACGTGATCTTATTAACGTTTTTTTTATTGTCTATGAATGATTAGACTTGTCTCGTATATTAAGTATGAGTTACTTAGTAAGAGGAATATTATTATACATATTATTATTTCCGTAAGCCATACCAATTCCTTAGAATTTTGTAATTGCTTGGACACATATTGATTACGTGCTATATATTTATATAAATAAACTATGTTGGACATGAATTAATTTATGCCATGAAATAATATCCAAACATGATGTTATTATGAACTCATGTGTGTATATTATGTATATGTTGAGAAAGTATGCTTGATCTATTGTTTATGTCTATGATCAACTAGTATTGTTTCTTTCTATGATCAACTAGTATGAAAGTCGTGGTCACATATTATGTTTATTATAATATTGATGTACATATGTTTTATATATGAATCATACTACAGTACAATTAAAAGAATGATTGAAATGAAATAGAAAGAAAGAGAAACTCAATTCATGAGAGCACATGAGTAGTTCTTGTCTCAAGAACATAGAAGAAGATCGAATCTTTGGTTCGATATGATTTGATATCACATTTGCAAGATGATGATTTACAATGTGAATGGATGAGATCAGATTTTGATTTTCAAACATCCGAAATAGTTGTAAACAACAATAGATGTTCTGTTGAAATAAAATTCGAGCAGTTTACTTAAGAGCTCGTTTTGTAGAATTAAATCGTTGAATTTGGCTGAATTTTGAACATCATGTTTAGGACATACAATCCTAAATTATGAATGATTAAGATTAGAATTTATATATTCTAACTTTAATGTTGAATAGTGGAGATCAACCACCATTTGAAGAGATTAATATTCTCTTGTTTATTGACAAGAATTAAGTATCTTGACGAATTTTCTCTTTTGAGGAAAAGGAAGAAATCTTACTATCTCATTTGTTGACAAGATTTAAGTATCTTGAGAAGATTTCTCTTTTTGTGATTTCTTGAAATACAATTTTTTTTTGTAATTAAATCATATTGGTGATCCAATATATTTTTCTAACTAAAGAAGATGTATTTTGTTATATGTTGTATCCATATTGAAACACGTGGAATGTGGAATTCCACAATTTGTTTTTTAACTCTCTTATTTTTAAACTAAATTTTAGTTATAGGCTAAGTAGTGCTTAGTGGGTTAAGTATAGTGCTTAGTGGGCTAAGTATAATGCTTAGTGGGCTTAGTGGGTTAAATTGAGAATATTATCTTAACTACTAAACTAACCCACTAACCCATGTTCTTGAGTGCTCTTGTAGTTGGTTATCTTGCAGATCATGGGCTCAGGAGTGGAAGCTTGGAATGTCTATAAATACCGACTTCAAGACTCAAGGAAGTTTACGGATTCTACGAAATAAACACCGAGAGCTTAAAAGAATACATGAGTGTTTTAGTGTGTTTTTAGAATCGGTTGGTTGTACTCCTCATGAGTACAATCTTTACGTACTCCTCATGAGTACATTCTTTACGTACTTCTCATAAGTACATTCTTTGTAGTCTAGATTGTTTAGTATACAGTGTTGATCTTTCTAGACTTGGTTGTAAGAATGATCAAGATAGTGATTCATTCATAAGTTCTGTACGTACTCCTCACGAGTACATTCTTTGAAATCTAGAATTTTTAATATTTCTCTTTTTGTTTCTAGATTTGAATGTAAGAATGATCATGTTAATGATTCATTCATAAGGAAGAAGTTTTCGTACATCTTCTATTTGTATTCTTGTAATACTGTTTTAATATAATTTTTCCGTCATGTAAAGGGCAAGTTCACAAGTTTTTACTTGTGAACATTTTTAGATCTGAGTATTGTCTTTATATTTCCGCTGCATGTTTTCTCAAGTGTCATAACACTTAAGATAACATCTCTGTATTAAACGAATTCGGGACCATAAATTCTTTCAATTGACATCAAGAGCCAACACTTGACGTATACTAAGTGTTTGTTCCTAATTCTTTTTCAGAATTCGTGATGGATACTCAGATGACTGCTTCTATGCGACCTCATGTACTTGATGGCATAAACTAGACCTACTGGAAAGTCAAGATGAGGGCGTACATCAAAGCCATTGATGAGAGAGCCTGGAGATCTATTCTTACTGGATGGAAGCCACCAACTACAACAGATGCTGATGGAGATGTATTTCCAACACCAGAATTACAGTGGACAACAGATGATCTATCAAATGCTAATCAAAACTCAAAAGCGTTAAATGCAATCTTTAATTCAGTAGATTTAACAATGTTTAAATTGATCTCAGTATGCACTTCTGCGAAGGATGCTTGGGAGGTTCTTCAACTACATTGTGAAGGATCAGACAGTGTCAGAAGAACTAAGCTCAGATTACTCTCTTCCAAATTTGAGAGACTAAGAATGGAAGAAACTGAAACAATTTCTCAGTACAATGAGAAATTGATTGATTTGGCTAATGAATTTCAATCCTTAGGTGGTCCTTTGAGAAACGAAACACTGGTGAATAAGGTATTGAGAACTCTTCCAGAAAGATTCAGCATGACAGTTACTGCAATTGAGGAGGCCAAAGACACATCATCTCTACAGCTGGACGACTTAATTGGTAGTCTAAAGTCTAGAGATATGAACTTTGAAGATCAAAGAAAGGAGAAAGGTAAGGCTATCTCAAATGCACTCCAGGCAGAATTAGAGAAGGAAGATGTTGCTCCCGGAGTATGACGATGATGCAGAGGAATGTCTCAACAATGTGGCATTTGAGATTCGGAAATTCAATAGGGCATACAGACGAAGTGGAATCAAGCCCAGACAGTTATTTCCAGATGGCTCTCCACAAAATCGACAAACTCAGCCCCGGAACAGATCTATTCCACAGAGAACATTTCCTCAAACATCTTCTCAAAATACTTTAAAAAATTCTTCATTTATTCGTTCAAATTCTGAACCACCTAACTTGGATCATATTAAATGCAGGGCCTGTTCAGGATTTGGACATTATTCTAATGAATGTGCAAATACCTTGAGAAGAAGAGGAATGAGTCTGATTTGTGCTGTCAGTGATGAGGAGGAAGAGCAACCTGAACAGACAGAGGAGCAGCAATCCACTAAACAGGCTCTTAGGGCCCGTTTGACAGGATTAAGCGCTGAATGCTGAATGCTGAATATGTGTCTGAATGGCTAAGAGTTGTGTCTGAATACTGAATGCTGAGCAATTAAGTCCGTTTGATAACTGAATGTCTGAATATTGTTATTTTCCTGTTATACCCTTATTTAATGTTGGCATTTTATTTGTTACTTAATTTTGATTAACATATATAAATAAATAAATAAATTAAGCATATCTACATAATCAATAAAATTTTAAATTTTAAATTTAAAATATTTAACATAGAAAAAATATAAAATTCGAACAACTAATAAATATAGCATTCACAAATAAAAACAACTAAAATATGGAAATACTTTAAAAATTCGCTAAAATTGAACTAAAAGATTAAAGTCGCTAAAATCAACGTCAAATATTTTATAAATTCTAATTGGTCACTCAATGCATCAACCGAGTTGCTATCTCATCGCACAAATTAGCCATATATTGCATGTCTTCGACCCCCCACCATGGTCCGGTAGTTGTACCATCATTCTCCGGTAGTTGAGCATGAGCATGATTAAATTTTTCTTCTTTAGTCAAATCACGTCTACGACGATAGTCTCCTAACCAATATCGCACATTGCGATACGGAACCATAAATCCTCTAATATGTGTGTATGCTGCATCACAAAGATAGTATTTACTTGTAATAATAATAAAAATAATTCAAGATCAGATTTAACGTATAAATAATTAGAATTTATAGTTTGAATTTAAAGTAGTACCATTGGGAGGCCATGGAAAACCGTTTCTCGGATCAGCAATTGTATCTGTTAAGACTCTTGAATCATGTGTTACCCCTTCCCAGCCTTCCCAAACGAACGTAAACATCATATTATAGTCGCATATTCCTAAAATATTTTGATAGCATTGACCCTTTCCTCTACCCCTGTACATAGTTTGCTTTGAAATTGGAACAACGGCATGTACTAGTGTTCCATCAAGTGCACCAATTGCTCCCTACATTTTGATTAAAAAGAAGTTACGGAAACAAGAAGAGAATTAAATAATGACAAAAAAAATAAAACGATACACAATATCTACCTTAAAAATTCGGTGTAACCTCCTAAAACTTGCCGAAATATTTGGGTTCGGGTCAAATGTTGTTGGTACTATAATCTCCATTGCCATATTCATCATTGCACTCAACACTTCATGAAAATACGCATGAACTGTTTGTGAAGAGTGTTGAAATCTACGCTTCACTACACGAAGACGCTTATTATGCCCAATAATTTGCAAGAACATTGCCATTTTTTCTTCTACTGATACATGTCTACTATCATGCAGCCACCCTCGTTGTCTAAAATGCATGCTCAAACGAATAGATGCAACACGAGACATGCGCATTAATTCAATACATTGTGTGTCTGATCCAGACAAGAGCTCCAATGTGTAAGCATGTCCCGACAATGCTGAATTGTTATCTCTGTTTCTTGGTACACGCATCAAATATCTCGGTCGAACTTGTGTGTACCAATAGATCATCATCAATATCATAATCTCGTAAATTTGCATATTTGACCTGTTAACAAAAAACAATACATTAAATATTTAAGAATTTAAACTATCATTAGCGAAATATTGAATTATAAAGGGAATTCAGTTCACAAGGTAAATGTAAAACAAGTCTGTTATTATAAAAAGTACCAACTAAACAAGTTTGATACTAAAATTGAAACTAATAACATAAAAAGTTTGCAATAACTTACGAAACTTAAAACGAATCCATCATCATAAATAAATACTACTAAATTATTAAAATATGATACATAAGCCATTGCAAGTTAAAATTCAAATCCCGTATTTTGTCCAATTCTTTTAATCCATGCTTTCAGAACTCTGACATTATCCTTAGGAAGCGCCATCCAAGCTTCTCTATGTCCCGCACAACTGCCAAAGATTACAACAGCTGAAACATATAAGATGTCTTCTTTATCCCATTCAAGTTCATCCAATTTAGCAATACAATCTGTAACTGAAGGCCCACTATTATTTTTAATCATAAACTTCAAAGCTGCTGACATCTCATTTATTAAATTAGTATCACTGGGCGAGGGTTGACTATTTTTCTTTTTCTTTTTAGGCTTTTCTTCTTGAGAACGATGGGCGAAATCATTAGTCTGGGTCCCTCTGGTATCCCTAGAATTTCCATCTTCATCACAAAAAGAAATATCTTCTATGTCACTTTGTTCCACATTCCGGACATTACTCGAAGAAAATGAGGTAACACCAGGATTTTGATCTTGGGAACTAGGTCCCCAAGAATGAACACCTGTAGCAGTGGCACCGTCGAATAGTGCTCTACAAAGGCCAGGATAAGGTAGGGGTGCAAGTCTTAAACTCTTTGCCTTAGGATGAGCCTGTATTGAGGTATTAAATTATAATTCTTAATAAAATCTTATAATTACTAATAAAAGTTAGATAAACCAATAAAAACATAAACAATTAACCTTTATATACTCTGTCCACTCTTCCTTTGTCATGTTGATGGTGTTGGTGGCACGATTGTAAATATTGCCTGTTTTCATAATTAACGGCAACCAAGCTTGATATTTTTGTTTTAAGTAGTCATATCGATTCTTCATTTGTCTTTCACAAACAACAAAGTTATGATTTTTCTTCAAAGTATTCATAATTGTGGTCCAAGATTCTGACTTCAGACTACCTCCTTCTCTACCATTTAGAGCAACTTCTTGGATACACGCTTCGAGAAAACATTTATCTACTTCACTGTTGTTCCATCTGACTCTGTTATTTTCATCTGATTCCTCCATTCCTATATTCATGAATATTTATTTGTCAGAGAAATTAATTATCTTTCTCTGATGCATCTACCAAAAAGAAGATTGTAGATAAGGGATTAAAGTAAAATATTAAATGCATATACATAATACATATATATATATATACGTACAGTTTATATTTTATATTTATATCATACAATTTATATTTATATTTGTATTACAGTTTATATCGTAGAGTTTATATCACAGTTTATATTTAAATGGTGATGCTAACATCAACAATTAAATTTGAACATTGCAGGTGTATGTATATACATACAGTTTATATAATGCATAAACAATTAAAAAAAATCACAATTAACGTAATATAAAAGTGTCTCACAAAGAAGAATATCACATAATTTGGTGGTAATTATTCTTAAAAGTTATATTTGCTCTGTCATGTTGCTTTATATGTAAATTTAGAAAAAGTTGATTATGAAGGGTCCTAAAATGAAAGAATGGTGTCTGCTCATTAAGGAATTAATGGTGTCTAATCTATTAGGAAATTGATAAGAACAATTGAATATTTCAGTAATATTACAGTTTAGACCACAACAATTTGCAAGAACAATATAAGCTTACACCTTTATGTTTTTTAGTTTAAAAAAAGCCCTCCCTATCTCTCTCTCTCTCCCCTCTGTCCTAGCAGTTCTCATTCTGACGAAGCATGTCATGTACAGACAAACTATAATGGTTAAATCAAGAAAAGGAATTCCCGTCGGAAAGATACAAACGTTAATCACAAAATTAAAACATACAATCATTATCTAGCTTAAAAAGCCAAAAATAAAACAAATTAGAGGGATACAAAAACCAATAAATCTTCATCGTTATATATGTTATTCCTATTTATTTTTCCATCTTCTCTGTTATTCGATTGATTAGCTTCTATATTACCAAACATAACATCACATCCCTGCTCAATTATATATTGATTTATGTATAATTATAAATTGCAGATGGAGTAATAGAAAATTCAACAAAAGAAAATAAAACTATAACAAAGATTAAGAATTTGTCAAAACCGAAAAAAAAAACTTACTCGGGAATTTGAAGAACTGTCTTGCAGAGTTCTGCTATGGGTTTCAATGATGTGTGAGCAGTGGTGATGGAAAGACTCGTAGAAAGATATATTTTATGATGGTAGGGTAGGAATTTACAAGGTTATTTATGGGTAAAATAAATAAATAAAATATTCATAACTAGGTCTGACCGAATAAGCGTGAGAATTGCCGCTGAATCGGTAAGCAATAAATCTTTCAGTTAAGATATTCCCTCCAAACACGCTAAATAGCATTATGCTGACCGAATCAGCGGAAATCACTCATTAAGAGGCCAATAAGAGGTAATCAAACGGGCCCTTATTGTCAGATATATCACTGAAAATTCTTCTGAAACAGAATCACAAGGAGTTTCTCTAGATGCTGCAACACTTTCCGAAACACTTTCAGTAACTGAAATTTTTGAGTTAGATGATAACCATTATACATGTTTAACCTCTATTTCCTTGAATGCAACAGAATCAAGTAAAGAAGCAGTTAGAAATGAGGAAGAAATGTGTAAGAAGTTGTTCAGCGACTTGGAGAAGAAGACTCAAGCTCTAGATGCAGCCAACAAGGAAAATTCCTCGCTTAAAGAAACAATCACTCATTTGGAGGTTGGTATCACCAAGAAGGATCTTGAACTGGCAAAGGTGAAAGATGAACTCAAAGAAGCAACTCTAGCAATCAAGAGGATGAATACCGGCACAACTAAACTCGAAGAGATTGTGTCACTGGAGAAGTACAACAAAAATGAAGGTCTAGGGTTCAAAAAACAAGTGAAGAAATACAAGCCAGCAAAGAAGAAGGAAATTGTCTTTGTAAAAGAGAAGGGATCAAATGGAAAAAAATGCAGAAACTCCACAGTCACCAATCTAGAGTCCAGAATAAGGGGATACATTTGCCATTATTGTTTCTCACCAGAACATATTCGTCCATTCTGTGAGAAAATAAGTAGTGACAAAATGTTGTACAGGATGAGTCACAACACTCCAGGGAACAACTCCAAGAAAAAGGTAGAATTTACCAAAAATGAGTGTAGAATATGGACTCCCAAAGGTAAACTTATGTGCAAAGCAGTATACATTTCTTTAAATGCTAACATTTCAAGTTCCTCGTACTTTGATAGTGGATGCTCTAGGCACATGACTGGAATTAAAGATTTTCTATCAAACTACCATACACTCAATGGTGGACGTGTAACCTATGGAAGAGGAGCTAAAGGCAAAGTGGTTGGACGTGGAACACTCAATATTGAGGGACTTCCAAAACTTTCAAATGTCTTACATGTTGAAGGATTGGGGTCAAATCTCATCAGTATTAGTCAATTGTGTGATGATGATCTACGTGTTAAATTTGATAAGTACTGTTGTTCTGTGTTTGATAAACAAAATAATTGTGTACTGACAGGTTCCAGGTCAATGGATAATTATTATCAAACAGGTGACACCATCTCATGCAAGAGCTCAGAGTAAGTGAAATAGAGTTGTGGCACCAGAAACTAGGGCACACAAACTTCAAAAATCTGAAGCTGCTCAACAAGTACAATGCCATAAGAGGAATTCCAGATCTCAAGATCAAGGACATCCCTATATGTGGAATGTGCCAGAAGGGAAAGCAGACTAGAGTGCCACACAAAGTGTTACAACACGTTGGTACCACCATTTGTTTTGAACTTGTACATATGGATCTTATGGGTCCTATAGAGGTAGAAAGTCCAGGTGGTAAAAAATATGTATTTGTGTGTGTTGATGATTTTCCGAGATATACTTGGATGTATTTTTTAAGAGAAAAATATGATCTAGAATACATGCATGTGTTTGGATGTGTTTGCTATGTCCTAAATGACAGAGATCATCCAGCTAAATTTGATTCAAAAAGTGATTTGGGTTTATTTGTGGGATACTCTAATAACAGTCATGCGTATAGAGTATATAACTTAAGAACTCGAACCATTATTGAATCTGTAAATGTGGTATTTGATGACTTTGCTGATCTCCGCAGTAAAACAGCTGAAGATGAAGTTGATGACCTGATTGCTGAAGGAGAAACAACCGAAGGAGACACTACTGCCACAGATGCTCCAGATATAAACAGTCCAGTTTCAAGAGAAGAGGGTGTTGAACCAAGTGTTACCACATCCGACTCAATACGTCCTACAGAGAGCACAGAAGCTGAACTGCAGCCAACTCATGATGTCTGCAGAAATGAACCATCAAGTAGAATCCAGAAAAATCACCCCTCTACTCAAGTTGTGGGGGATATCCTTGAAGGGATAAGGACCAGAAGAAAAGAGAGAGTGAATTACAGAGATATGGTAAGATTTGCAAATTTATCTTCTAAATGTGCATTTACTGGAACTACTTGCTTTGTGTCTTCAGTTGAACCAATGAATATTGCAGAAGCTCTGAAGGATGAATTCTGGATCAATGCAATGCATGAAGAACTGAATCAGTTCATCAGAAATGATGTTTGGTACTTAGTTCCCAGACCAAGTCATGTAAATGTGATAGGAACTAAGTGGATCTTCAAAAACAAAACTGATGAAAAAGGTACAGTGGTTAGAAATAAGGCTAGGTTAGTAGCACAAGGTTATACTCAGATTGAGGGTATAGACTTTGATGAAACCTTTGCTCGAGTAGCTAGAATTGAATCTATTAGGTTACTTCTTGCTATATCCTGTTCTTAAAATCAAATTGTATCAGATGGATATCAAAAGTGCATTTCTAAATGGTGTTTTAAATGAAGAAGCATATGTAGAGCAACCCAAGGGGTTTGAAGATTCTGCCAAACCTAATCATGTGTTCAAGCTTAAGAAGGCTCTGTATGGTCTTAAACAAGCTCCTAGAGCTTGGTATCAATGACTCACTGACTTCTTACTTGAAATACAGTTTAACAGAGGAGAGGCAGACAGAACTCTATTTGTTAGAAGAACAAATAACCATATCATTATTGTACATATATATGTTGATGATATTGTTTTTGGTTCTACTTGTGCTAACCTTTTACAGTCTTTTGTAGATTCTATGTCTCACACTTTTGAAATGAGCATGGTAGGAGAGTTGAATTACTTTCTAGGACTCCAAATCAAACAGACAGGTGAAGGAATTTTTGTAAACCAAAAGAAGTATGCTCTCAATCTGGTCAAAAGGTTTGAGTTGGAGTCAGCCAAGCACATGAAAACTCCAATGGGTTCAAGTCAAAAAGTGTCCAAGGACGATGTTGCTGAAGATGTTGACAACACCCTATACAGAAGCATGATTGGAAGCCTTCTGTATCTAACAGCAAGCAGACCTGATATTATGTTTAGTGTTTGTGTGTGTGCCAGGTATCAAGCTAATCCCAAAGTCACTCATCTTAAAGCTGTGAAGAGGATTATTAGGTATGTTGCAGGTACAGTAGATCTAGGTATTCAGTTTTTCAAAGACACTAATACTAATTTGATAGGTTTTAGTGATTCTGATTGGGCTGGGGATATTAGTGACAGAAAAAGCACTTCAGGTGCATGTTTCTTTTTTGGGGAATAATCTGGTTTCATGGGTTTATTAGAAAACAAAATTGTGTATCACTTTCAACAGCTGAATCAGAATATGTAGCTGCTGGAGGATGTTGTGGTCAACTAATTTGGATGAACCAAATGTTGGGGGATTATGGGTTAACCAGTGACACCCTGACCATATATTGTGATAATTCAAGTGCTATTGATATTTCAAAAAATCCTGTTCAACACTCACGAACTAAACACATAGATATTAAACATCATTTTATTCGTGATATAGTTGACAAAAATATAGTGTGCTTAAAGTACATTCCTACAGAAGATCAACTGGCTGACATCTTTACAAAGGCATTAGATTATGAGAGGTTTTCTAAACTTAGAAAATCTCTCGGGATGTGTACTCAATAAACATGTCCTGAAATATGTTGCAACACCTCATCCAATATCTTAAGCTGCAACATAATTTACTGAAGCTTAGCTTCTTTAAATAATGACTTCACTGTGATGGATTATTCTCTAAATAAGTAACTGGAAGTCTTTCACCTTGAAACGTGATCA